TGAAGGTTTCGGAACCCACAACAGTGTTTCTTCTTCACAACAAATTAGTAATGCACTTATCTTGTATGCATATTTTATACATCTATATATATTACTAATGATAATCATATTCATTTTTATCATGATAACTGTAAGAGTCTTATTAGCAGTTTCTTAATTTCCGTTCTTTACTTCATTTCCAGTACATTTTTTTATTACTTTATTTAATAAAGATTCTCACCGAAAGACGCGGGGATCATCTTCTACAGGTTCAGAAGACGTTATTCATGGAGATCACATTGAGGTTCCTGATTTTAAAACTGGACTGACTGTCAATGATCCATCGTTAGCCGAGAATCAGGGGAAAGAAGATGCCGACAACGACCTGAATTACAGCATGAACTTTCCGTGGATTCAGGTACTTTTGACCTGGACGCAACGAAAACATATGTCTGTTTTTAAGACCATCCTCAGAATTTTGAACATGATGAATTTTCACTGTAATCATCAGAAGTTTTGCCATCCAATGTGCTTTCAGCGTTGCTACCGACAATGCGACAGGATGATGATCGCTCTTAGAAAGGTAAATATTTTAAGAACAGACATTCTTGCATATAAAACGAATCTATAACAATGCTATACCGCTCGTTTCCGGAATCGCCGCAATTAATTCTCTTTAGCTTCTCTAATGCAATTATGATCGTGTGCACACTGTTGTACACCCTGCTTCTTTTACACAAGTACAGTCATTGCATGATGTTAATGATAAAGGCCAGTCAAAGTAAAGGAGTTGATGGTTATTGCTTGTCTCTGCGTGCGCATTATCCATATCTACCGGCTAATTAGCTTTCAGAATAATTTTACGTTTTCAAGTAATACATCGTTGGTTTGGTGAGGTCAGTGGTAAATGGTCAGCATCGAACTGCTGAAATGCTGGGTTCTTATTCCAAAAAAGAAAAATATTCCCTTATTTTCTAATTCCTTTGAATAAAGAGTTCATCCAATGCTGCTTCAGTGCTGACTGACTTGCGAACGTGAGGCAAAAAATGCTACAGTGTGGTTATGCCAGAATGAACTTGCGGCACAGCCATATTGTCAAACGGAAACTCCTTTTATACCTACAATTAACCTTGACCCAGCTGAGAGATGACTATTCTCTGTGACAACAGCGTTAATACAAAAATGTATTACATAAGCACATGCATAGCTACAACAAAAAGGCTTATCGCACTTTACAATAATCGTGATATTCTGGGGCAACTGCCACTAAATACAAAAATTTTGTTTTCAGAACAGTAAGCAAGCATAATAATCTTCTCTTCACTGGATTTCCACGACGGATACAGTCCATTCCGTTGCTTCAAGTTTCATACGGAAGATGTTCAGTTGGTGGTCGAGCGGCTGTTACACAATCCAACTTATGTGGTATTCGAATGCGTAATTGTACGACCCATTATTGTCATGTGGCATGCGATTCATGCACTGCAGATGTTCGAGTACCACTGGACCATGTCAGCTAAAATGATCCCTAACACAAAGGCGCAAGTTGATGGTGCGAATGTCATGAAAATCTGGAGGGGGAGGAGAACTTTGCACTGTTCTGCTGTTTGAGGATCACTTATTTGCTCCACCCTTTCCCTAGTTTCTCTCCTGGCTGCACCGAAGTGTTGTCCAGGGTATTTATGACAGGACACCTCTATATCCTCTCGTTATTTGAGTTCCCACTATTCCGATAACGACCACAGCTTTTCGAATGTTGCTTTTGTAGTGATTTTGTTGCCTCACTATCTTTGCAGTCCGGCCTTTTTTGCATCAAAATTTCGATCTTCAACTTTCTTTCAAGCAGCGCAGATATCATTAATCTTCCCTACCTTGACAATTCGGCTGTTCCAAATGTTAATTTAAATTCTGACCCTCTAATGAGAACTTATGTGTCAAGTTTTTCGAATCTCTTCAGCTAGACGGTTAGTCATCAGTCTGTGGCGAATATGCAACTAGTCCACGCTGATTTACACACAAGTTTCGGATGGCTGGTAGCACTGCATTTTCTTTTTAAGTTTCTGTTTGCTAGAGAGGTGGCGGAAATTACTACACCATTGCGGTTAAATCTGATCAATCAGTTTCCACTGCCAGGGACAGAGGAACAGTGATCGCTAAACAGGAACAGTAATAATATTTATGATTATGAATT